AATTTTTTAAATGTTGGAAAGCACACCTAGTTTTTATGACAGTTTTGCTTAAATTGTTATTAGTGGTTGATGGTGAAGCTTGTCTCCTTTCTCCATTCTCAGATGTTTTGTTTGTAATCATGGTATAAATTAACCTAGTCTGAGCTTTTCATATCCTGTTGACAGATGTGACTACTGCAACAAAGGTTTTAAGAAATCCAGCCACCTGAAGCAGCACGTGCGCTCCCATACTGGCGAGAAGCCCTATAAATGCAAGCTCTGTGGGCGTGGGTTTGTCTCCTCGGGAGTTCTCAAGTCCCATGAGAAGACGCATACAGGTAATCAATTATCTGCCTTGCATTTTGAAATTAAGCCTCTAAAAATATATATGCATATAATAGCTTAATCGAGATATAATGCACATACCATTCAATTCACCCATTTAAGGTATATGTATTCACCAAGATGTGTAGCTGTCACTGCAGTCTAATTTTAGGACATTTTCACTACCCTCAAAAGAAACCCTGGACCTATTAGCAGTCACTGTTCATTTTCCCTAACACCCTGGGCCCCAGGAAACCACTAATTGACTTCATGTCTCTATGGACTTACCTATTCTGCACATGTCATATAAAGGGAATCGAACAGTATTTGGTGCTTTGCGCTGGCTTATTTCACTAAGCATAATGTTTTCACGGTTCTTCCATGGTGTAGCATGTATCATCCCTTATTCATTTTTATTGCCAAATGATACTCCATTGTATGGATATATCACATTTTTTTATTTATCCATTTAGCATTGATGAACATTTGGATTGTTTCTACTTTTTGACTATTTTGAACAACACTGCGTACACTTGTATACAAGTTTTTGCATGAACCTGTATTCAGTTCTCTTGGGGGGGGGGTGTATGTGTACGTATATATATACATATATGTGTTATATATGTATACACATCTAGGAATAGCATTGCCGGGTCATATGATTACTATGTTTAACCTTTCAAGGAAATGCCAGACTATTTTCCAAAGCACCATTTTACATTCCCACCAGCAATGTATGACTGTTCCAGTTTCTCCACATCCTTGTCAACACTTGTTATTATGTCTTTTTGATTATAGTCATCCTAGTATGTGTGATGTGGTTTTTATTTACATTTCCCTGATGACTAATGATGTTGAGTGTCTTTTCATGTACTTATTGGGCATTTGTATATCCTCTCTGGAGACATGTCTATTCAAGTCCTCTGCCCATTTTTTAATTGGGTAATTTGTCTTTTTATTACTGAGTTGTAAGAGTTATTTATATATTCTAGATATGCATGCCTTATCAGATAATCTGATTTGCAAATATTTTTCCCATTCTGTGGGATGTTGCCAGTTCACATGTAAAAGACTGAGAGTCAGAA